AGAAATTTATAAAACAATGAATCCATAAAGCAATACAGTAAACATGCAATTCAATACTATATACTGGACAAGTATAATCAACTGGTCATGTTGCTGTTGTAGAATCCATATTGCTGTTGTAGATCCGTACATTGGTTCTATCAATAAGAGTCGTCACTCTTTTCGCCCGTCGGCATTTCTATAAACTCCTTATGACTCCCAATCGTTATATCAATGATCAATGGTTTAAAGGAAAGCCCGTCGGCCCACCATCCTGTACAGGTCAATATCAATCTCCAACCAATGTTCAACCAGGCTATACGTGTTTCCCAGTATCAATAATCAATCAATAATCAGTTCAATAATCAATATTATGCAATCTATAACAATCATATCAATAATCAATAGCATATCAATCTAATCTATCAATTAAGCAAATCCGAAAATCTACGAAAATCGGGCAGCGTAACGGCAGTCAGTCGAATTTACACAAAAATCCTACAAAAAGCACAATTTCCAAATCTTTCCAAATTACAGACGAAGATCCATAACATCAATATAAGACTATTGCCCTATAGAAATCAAATCAAATCAAGTCCCGATAATTTTCTATTCGATTAAAATCGCGTAGAATCAATTCCGACCGGTAAAATCTTCGTAGAATACAGTCAAATCGTGTACAATAATCATATCTATAACATACTAAAAGTTGTGCGGTGAAAGTTGTGTCAATAAGAAATCACGTCGAAAAGTCGATTACGAAAACACAAAACAAATCACAACTTGGTCAAAACTCAATATCTTTGAAAACAGAAATAGGGTTCGGAGTCCTTACCACGAGATCTTCACTTTTCCCAACAGCAGCGTCGGTCGAAAAGCGCTCCGCGGCCTCCAAAACCCAAGATTCCTCTTTTTCCCTTTTCTCTTTCTCTCTCTAAAACAGATATTTTGATTTTAAAAATATTTTCTCTCTCATCAAAACGAGCTGATTTCTTTAAATCAGTTGTCTGATCGGCCCGGCCGATCGCCAAATCGTCCCGAGACGATCAGACCAGAAAAATCGTCCTGGACGATTCCTAGAACTATTCTCAGGCCGATATTTTCTACAGTGCCGATCGGCCTGGACGATTTCCAATCGTCCTGGACGATCCTGAGAGGAAAAATCCAAATCTGAGAGGAACAGTAAGGGAACGAGGTCTCACAATTTCATAGTGTCATTTGACAGCAAAACCACTAGGTTTAGAGGGCCCCGAGTCATAACCGTTTATCCTGCGGTACAATTTGGCAGCAAAACCGTCGGTTAGAGGACACATATCACGTCCTTACTAACACGAGATTATTTGAGAATGGATCCTAGTAATATTTTCGACTTGACATTAACTCCATGTGAGCTGAAGTAAATTTTAATTTGTTCAACTCGGCAAACTATTACAGAGGGTGGATGAAGTTTGTTTTAAGTGTTGATGGATTTATTTCAAATTTTAAATATTTTAGAATTTGGGATTTGTTGGGTTTTGAACTTTGTTGAGTTTTGAATTTTGGGTGGCATTTGAAAAATATTTGTGAACCCCTCCGGTTGAGATTTTCATTCAATACGGCCATCATCGGGGTGCAAGGGGTTACTTCTCTTTGTTGATTAAACCCTGTCGACCCTATCAACTTGCTGATAGGGGATCGGATTTCGTAGTCTTTATGTCATTGTGAGTGAATTCTCTTAATTATAGGCCCTGAAGATCTAATATAAATGTATTAAAACAAATATACCGGTTGCTACACCCGTGATTTTGTTTGATAGTTTGAACCCTATCGACTCCTATTGATCCGTATAGAAGGATCGGGTTCAAACCTGAATTCCTTTGTCGATCCGTGCAGCATCTCTAGACGTCACGTGTGTACCAATAACACGCTAGCCGGGGCCCATGCAGGTGTTTGGGGGCATTTTGTAATTATTTATTGAATCTTGTCGACTCCTATTATTTGCTTAGGAGGATCGAGTTCAAATTTAATAACCCGCGTAACTTCCCTAAACATCACGTATGTACCAATAACACGCTCGTCGGGGCCCATACGGATTTTATGATTGCACTTGCCCTTTTTGTGTACATATGTGTATACAAACTATGGTGTATATGCGGGGCTTTATTTCAGACTTTGTTGACGCATTCTATCTGCTTGTATGAAGGTTGCAGATCTGGTGGCGTGGCGTAGTAGCTTTTGAATGGAGTTGTTCGCTACTTCGTACAGGTAGAATGTCGTGCACTACTTGTTGCTTTTTGCAGGTGGATCGTAGTGCACTAACTAGTCTCCTGTCTTTAGTTGTGTATGCTTGCATCTGTTGTAACTCCCTAGTGACTTTCTTGTGGATGACATGTTAGGTGTACAACAGGTGGCTACAGTATTTGGCTTTTTCAGTACATTCTGTGAAAGCCAAAAAAATTCTGTTTTCCTTCCAGGTTCGTCCGGACGAAGAGGAGATCATTCGGGATGATCAGTTCAGAATCTATGGATAGAGAGGTTCGTCCCAAGACGAAGTCAAGTTCGTCCATATGAAATTTCTCCCGAGAGCAACTCATCCTGAGACGATTATAATTTCGTCTGAACGAATTTTGTCCAGAGGAGAAATTGTCCCGGGACGAATAGGAATCGTCCCGTACGATCCACCTTTATAAATATCCAAATAGTGATATTTTTGAAGAAAGAGAAAAGGAGGAGAGAGAAAAAATGAAGGAAAAATGAAGAAAAGTGAACTTTGGGCTATTTCAGTCTGTTTTCGTCCGTCGCCGTAGTTGGAAAAGTTGACCGACTCGAGGTAAGGCACATTCCGCCTTTCTCAATTTTCAGAATGTGAATTTTGATGACTTTTCTGTTTTGAATTCTATGTCCGTTAGAGAATATCTGATTTCATTTCATGTTGATAAATCTTTGATCGCGTAACTTTTGGTATGTTTCTGAGATGATGTTTTTACACGTTTTGAGTATTTTCTAAAAGATTTTCACCGGGTATTTTGAGCTCTGTGAAATTTTAATCGAATAACGAATTATCTGGATGTTGGAAATTATCGCTTTAGTATAATGAAAGTCTTGAAATTATGTTTTGCACTATCTGTGGTAATTTGATAAATTTCTGAAATTATGAATTTCTGTGGAATTTTTTTATACTGCCGTTATGTCGCTGATGATTTTTCTGATGAAATCTGATTTTCTGAATTTGATGATTTGATGTATTTGTATGATATCAGAAGGGAGTTATAAGGGGCCGGAATCCTTTGAGATTCTGTCTATGTCAGGGAAATCTGAAAAGTCTGATCTGATCTAAAATTCCGTATATATGATAAGTTCTGGTGCTGTAAGCACAAGGGAGGCATAAGGGGCCGGAATTTTTTGAGATTCTGTCTGTGTCTGGGAAGGGAGGCATAAGGGGTCAGAATCCGTTGAGATTCTGTCTGGGTCATGGCTATATGATGTGAAATGTAATTTTATCTGCTTTGAAATCTGATTTGTACGATTTTGTCTGTTCTGTGATTTGAAGAATTCTGATTTAAATAATTCTGTTATATGAAATGAATCCAGTTCTTCTGTTTCAATGGTTTGATTTCTATTTGATCAAGTATCTATATTATGTCTGATTATACGATTTTCTGTACGATTATCTGAACTATGTACGGCTACTATTCTGATGAATTTTCTGATGTGAGTTTATGGAGATTTTGATTGACGAGTATAGTCTTGCTGAGCTGTTAGCTCATTCTTGTTATCTGCGTGATTTTTAGGTTCCGGGAAAGGGAAGGAGGTCTTGGACTAGCCGTTCAGTATTTGATCTGTGATTATGTATTTTGTACTTTTGATTTTTGTACAGTCATGACTTTTCTGTTATGTTCTTTCTGTCTGTAGCCATGTACTGTAATGTACATGATTATTTTGATGAAAGAAGAAAATGTTAGATGAACTATTCTATATATTTGAATATTTATAGTAGCTCTGTGTTTTCTATATGTCTGATTATTGGAAGAAAATCTGAAAGCAAATTCCAAAGCTAGATCCTAGATTACATCCGTTACAACCCAACGCGAAGGGATTCGTTCCGGTCGGGTTGGGTCGTGACACATTCGCTATTGTTGCTCATATGCATGTAGATATATTCATTCATAGGCTAAAATTGACTTCAGAATACTGCATTTACTGAAGTCTTTCTGCATCTACCCATATATGGCATGTTGTACATACATCTATATCCGTTGAGAGATTATATGTATTGCAGATCTTCTTTTTCATACAAGCTGGTTGGTGGGACCCTCACTTGCACTTGCTCCTTTCTTATTTATTGACGTTCATTACACATTGCTTTTTAATGCTTGTAAGAAACATTTTATTTGCTAGCAATTTGTTTGTTGTCAGCTGTGTGCATCCTTGCATTTATTCATCACTTCTGGTTACAACAGTTTGTATGTGATTTGTATATATTGTTGACATATCAATCTTGCCATATTCGTTGCATATAACGATGACCCATCGTCACGATCATTGCATGCTTCTTAGTTTCCTCCCTTCTAGACAATTGATTGAGCGTGCTATTGATTATCCACCATTCCTAATAAACCTTTCAATCTTCATTGTTTATAAATATTGGTTAGCGAGATGTAAGGATTTTCTCTAACCCCACCAAGGACTTTGCATGTATGAGGTTTGAATGGAACATACTTCTTGAATAGCACTTGCATTGGAATAATAGTTCTATTCACATCTTGCTCATTCTTCAAATTGAATTAGTTGTTGTTCTTCTATTGGTGTTCATTTGAATATATGTCATATCACATGATATATTGAATTTTGATTAACTCAAGGCCCCAAGTCCAAATTGAGTTCAATTCATGCTCATTTCTTCAAGTTCAAAGCTTGTAAAATTCAAGCATGAGATCAAATTGAGCTCCTGTATACAACACTTAGTTTATTTGATTTAAGTCATTTGTTGCTCCTCAATTGTTTAGGCTCACATTTAAATTTAATTTCAATTTGAATTTTTATTCAATTCAAGTTCAATCTTGTTCAAAGGTCCACACGTTCAAGTTCAAATACAGTTTAGGCTTAAGATGAGCCTCTTCCCTTCATTCGAGTCCCCTGTAGTTCTTACAAGTTCATGTTCTTGTCCACCTTGCAAGTTCAAGTCAAGCTCAAGTTCATTTTTTTTAAAGTCCTTGTCTTATTTCAGACAAAAATTCGGCAGCCTCGAGGTGTCTCCCATGTTTAGGGGAAAAACCAAGAGGTCGCCTACCCGCCATGTCAATAAAGACGTGCACGGTTGGTATTTGTGAGACACCGCGGCAGTGATTTTTTTTGTTTTTTATCCACCACGCCAACAAAGGCATGCATGGGGTTTTAAAAGCATTTTTTGAAAGAAAAAAAAAAAGAGTTTTACTTTCCCCCCACTCGGGGGTACTTATGAGTGACTGCGCTTCGCCTTAGGTGCCGCACCGGGGTCCCATCCCACCACACGCAACAAAGGCATGCATGGGCGATTTTCCAGTCCGCCACGAACATTGAGAGCGAGAATATGAGTTTAGAAAAATTCGTACCTTCGTGGGGTTGTCGGTGTTGGCACGTGGATCAATGGGTCACTCGCCTACCTCGTCGTATGTGTCGCACCGGATTCCCTCTTATCACGCTCAACAAAGGCATGTATAGATGGTTTGCTAGCCCGACACGCATGTCGAGATAAGAGGGCACAAAAAATTGAGGTAACACATTTTTTTGTATTTCTTTTTTCTCTTTTTTTTTTTGCTTTCTTTTCATTCTTTTTTTTTTCTAAAAACTTCATTCTATTTTTTTTTTCACAATAATGATAAATAAAAATAAAAAAAAACTAATACTAGTAATTAACAATGCTGATAGCATTACTAATACAAAATCTATGCTAATAACAGGAAATAGAAATAAAACAAAATAGAATGTAAGATGAAAAAGTTTGTTGTTTGGATGTAGGCTTGGGTTGAATGGAATGAAGCAGGTTTGAGTGGAAATATTTTACAACAGGTTATGGAAGTGGTGGGCTAAGATTTGTAGAAATCTGTTTGGTGGAATGGGCTTTGGAATGGTCAAATGGATGGGATTTGGTATGAGAAGTGGAGTTGAACTTTGCTGTTTGGTGGAGAAGGAAGCCTTAAGTTATTTCTCAATAGTTTTGTTTTGTATGAAGTGGAGAGAGGAACCAAGTGGTACAGCAGCTCAAGATGGGAATGAAGTGTGGTGTGAGCTGCTTTGAAGTGAAGGGAAACTTTCCTAGGAGGAAGGGAGAGACTGTACAGATTTGAGTGTGGCTTGGACGTGAAAGGATTGGAGTACAGAACAGGAGTGTAGAAGCTTTGAACTGTCACACTTCAAGCTTTGCTAGTGTAGATTGGTATCAACTTAGTTCATCTCTATCTAGGTGGAATCAGCCATTTGATACGCACATTTTAAGCTTTCCCAAGGCTGCAAATGCATCTGATGCTACCATTGGAAAACAAGTTCCTTTGAGCTGGAAACTTTCAGATTCAGTAGGGAAGAAATATTCTTGAGCACGAGTTATGGAATGCTTCCTCTTAGCCTCTCTAGCTTCTCTTCTGATAATGAAATCATTGAGAGAGCTGCATGATTCTCTTGCTTTATCTCCAATGAGTCTGAATGCTATTGATGCTAAAACCAAGTCGAATTTCACTGTGGGTAGATCCATCTTAGAGTGCATCATTTGTACAACCCAAACTCATCTAGATTGTAAGAAACGTTTCTCTGAAGTTTTGAGAGGTGCAAAAGACTTTCTCTGCAGTTGTTGTGAAGTCAGATACAGGCAAGGGAGGAACAATCATTTGAGGGTGCCTTTAGTGGATCTGGTACAGGTCAGAACAGAAATCAGAGTTTGCATAGCTGCTTTGAGGCTGAAGGAGGAGGCTCACGGCTGGAGGGAGGATTAGTCTTCACTAGGAGTTTTTTGGGCATTAGGAAGTTGACGAGCTACAGGATTTGAGCGTATGGGAGGATTGGTCTTCACTAGCAGATCAAAGGTCGCTTAGAGCTAGCTGCTTTCGTCTGGGAGAAATTCAGAGAGCAGAACTTGAACAAATGAGCTCTCCTTCATTTTAGCAAGGTATTGCATTTAGCCAGGCAAGCAACGTCCGAGGTGAGGATTATTTCAGCGGGATTCCCTCAGAGATTTCGAGAGGATTGAGGTTTTGCATTTAATTATGATTTGATTTTACATTTAATTTAGCAATTTTTAGGTTAAATACACTGTCCGAACTAATAATAACACGCTATTATAAGCAATGTCATTAATTAGGCTTAAAGTCATGTTCCAATCAAATAAAAATCATCCCGGTTTACGTGTTTTCTCTATTCGCGTGTACATTTTTCCTCTTTAAACGTGTCGAGCTCGTCGATTTTGAGCTCGTCGAAAAATCGTAATAGAATAAACTAATAGTGCATGTAAGGTATTGCCCATGTTCCGGTCGCAACGACGCAGTCCGTTTTGCAATCGGACGTTATTTGAGCAATACCAAGACTAATTTTTCTCGAAATGCGTGTCTTCACATCATATTTGAATTGCCTCGAGATTTATACCACCTCCTCAGATGATCCAAATTGATTAAATAAAATACATATTCTGAATGTCGACGACGCTCCGAACACAATGGCACTGTCCGTTTTGCGATCTGACGTCATGCCGTCTCCGTAGAGGTAAATTTCCTCGAGATGCGTGTCTTAGCATCACATTCAAATCGCCTCGAGATCTGCACCACCACCTCAGATGATTCAAATTGATTAAATAAAATGTAGTCTCTTAAAGCCGATGACGTTCCGGGCATAATGGCGTTGTCTGTTTTGAGATCGGACATCATTTCGTCACCGACGAGGCTAATTTTTTTGATATGCGCGCATTCGCATCATATTTGAATCTCCTCGAGAGAATTTTTTTTAACATCTCAGATGATCCAAATTGATTAAATAAAATATATATTCTGAATATCAGCGACGCTCTGGACGCAATGACGTTGTCCGTTTATCGCTCTGGACGCAATGACGTTGTCCGTTTATCGATCCTACGTCATTTGATCAGCGCCGTACTTAAAATTTGGATGTCGGTCGTCCCTTTTAACTGGTCTCATTCTATTCGAGTGCGAGGGGCCTCGACCTAGCAGAATTCGACGTCCTGATTGCAACGACTTCGTCTGTTTGGAAATTGAAGGTCGTTTGACCCTTCAAGTGATGCATGACGCCAAGGTGCGTAATGCTTTATTCATCAATTGAGGTCCTTTCTCGCTTGGTTTGAGGTATAGGGGTCAACAACACCATTTTCTATGTTGTTGTTTGTGTAGAATTCTAGGCCAATGCTTTTTATTGATGATGCACCTTCAATATAAAATGCTTCCAAGAAAGGTAGCAATCCTAATCCGTCAAGTTTCTTGCAATTGCCACAACCACTTATTTTAAAAAATCGAATGTTAAATAGTCGAGATCCCAACCAACTTGGTAGCTTGCATCCAAAATAGTTGGTTATTTTAAGAATTTTTAGTCGGACTGGAGGGCTGAGATCCTCAAAGACCTCCTCAATTCTGTCGGAATCTTCTCTAGAAATTTCATTAGAATCTCTCCGAGCAACTCAGTTCGAGTTCTTGGAGGTGTAGTTTGTCTTTGAGAGAAGCACGTTTTGCTTGTGAGCTGTCCAACACCCTTTCCAGCTTGTACAATTGTAATCGCCTGGTAGCAAATCAACAAGATCTGTTAGTTCTTAAATTCAATTAAATAAGAGATTATCATAATATAGATTGCAAGTTTGAAGTGTAAGTATTTTGTATATGTCCGACATAATAGGCTTAATTATTATAAAATGAATAAGATTGTTAGTTTTTTTATTTTTTTTCCTGATTAAATAGGTTTTTAATTTTATGTATGATATATCATAAAAAAATTATCTTGATCGGGCATGAATCTCAATGGAAAATTGAGTTGAAAGCTTCCAAAATTATATCGGAGACCATCTGAATTCTAATTTAGCAAACTTATAGTTGAACTGAGCGTCTTGGAAACACGAACCGAACGACACCAAAATCGACCCAATCCGAGCCCAAATGAGTCCAAATCAAATACTCGAAGCACTTTTGGAAGGATCAAACCACAATTTGGGTTACCAAACAATCTTCAATCATGATATGCTTATAGTCGAATCGAGCGGCTCGACGAGATGAATCCAACGAACCCAAGATCATCAAATTCTGATATCATTAAGACAATCAAATATCCATTGAATGATGCATGATCGTAAGAATCAAGATCTATCGTCCATCCGAACCACTCCCAATTTTCCCATGATCTTCTACTTATTTACAAGCCTTGCCACTAAAGAATTCTATAAATAGAACCCCATTTCCTCTTGAAAGAGGGGGGGGGGGGGGACCAAGCAAGAAGGAAGAGAAGGAAGAAGCTCATCATCGACCAACGTCGGAGTTTCGTCGGACCACAGTCGGAGTTTCGCCGGATCATCGCCGGAGTTTTGCCGGACCACCACTAGAGGCCCTGAGCTCCGCCAAACCATCACTTGAGGTCCTCACCTCCGCCGGACCACGCCCTGACGTCGGTGCTCTGCCAGATCACCACCTGACCACCCGGAGTACTGCCTTATTACTACGGTCTTTCTGACCCCAGTCTCCTGCCAACTACGGTCTTCTGGACCCCCATCTCGTGCCGACTATGGTACTTCCAACAAACAAACACATCAATGTTGATTATTGTAACTCCCACAATGTAATGTGCTCTATATGATGTACATTTGTGACATAAAGTCAAGGCCTTCTCCCAAAAAAGGGCCTCATTTGTAATCGACTACAAATACTAGTGGATCCATTTAAACTGGGCCAGGCCTCGTGGTTTTTCCCCCTTTTAAGGGGTTTCCACGTAAAAACTCTGTTGTCTCTTATGAACACTACACCCTCTCACTTATCTGATTGTGTGCTGGATCTTCGTACAATGCTAAGACATTAAACTATATATTTTTCTACCGCCGCGAATAATCCAGGACGCAACAATGTATACGTAGACAATTAGCACACAAAACAAGAGTAAAATTTTATTAAAACACAATACAAACCTTAGCTCCGTGAATGTCTCCAACTCCTTAACAGTAGAGGATTCCCGTGCAATATCCTGGTCTAGAGGCACAATGAATTCAAGAAGTTGTAGTTTGTTCAAATTTCCCACTCCCGAAGGCAGGTCATCTAATCTCGAACATTTAGTTGTACGAGAACACATATGATGCAACTAAAAGGAATATTCTATGAAGAGCAAGAGTGAGAAGAACTCTGATAGTTGGCTTTTTAGCAACATGACTGAAGGTTTCGGTGTAGTTGACGCCTAGAGTTTGGTTGAAGCCTTGAGCTACAAGGCGGGCCTTGTATCTGTCGATTTGACCATTTGGCAGGAGTTTTGTTTTGAATGTCCATTTGCAGCCGAGGATTGGATCCTTGACAGGCGGAGGAACAAGCGACCACATTCCTTGATGCTGAAGAGCGAGAAACTCGTTTGACATGGCGGGCCTCCAGTGAGGGAATTGAGGCTTGGGAGTAGTTTGTTGGAGTGGATGAGGTGGAGATTGTGGCCGAGAGATCGAATATTGATTTGGGCTTATGAATTTCAGATTTGGCTCGAGTTTGCATGGGGTGATTTGGTTGAGGGGGTGCGGATTGCTTAGCCGGCCCAGAAGCCGTTGAATTGAAGTGAGGCGAGAAGGAGGCCCGAGACTGAGGGCTGAGTGTAGTTGCAAGGGGCTGGTGTGTGCTATGTTGCGGTTGGGATGAGTGGTGAGAATCATTTAGAACAGAAGTGGGAGTGATAAGTAGGGGAGATATGAATTGAGTATTGGTTCCAGTTGTTGAATCAATGGATTTAGAGGAGTCTTGATATGGAAAGATCTGCTCATGGAAAGTGACGTGCCTTGAAATTTGAATTTTATTTGTGAGTGTGTTGAAGCATTTATAGCCCTTGTGTTGAGAGGAGTACCCAAGAAAGATGCAAGATTGGGAACGAGGTGATAGTTTATCGGTAGCGTAAGGTCGGAGCCACGGGTAACAGAGACATCCGAATGTGCGGAGATGATTGGAGGGAAACTTACAGTGAAGAAGATGGTATGGAATTTGTTAGGAGAGAGCTTTGGACGGAAGCCGATTGATTAAGTAATTTGCGACTGTTACGGCTTCGGCCCAGAACTTTTTGGGGAGATTGGAGGCATGTAGCAGAGTACGAGTGAGCTCCAGAAGATGTCTGTGTTTGCGTTCTGCGAGACCATTTTGCTCTGGTGTGTGTGGTCAACTAATTTGATGTGTGATGCCGTGAGAGGATAGAAAGACTGTAAACTGAGTGCTATTGAATTCGCCGCCTCCGTCGGATCTAAAGAATTTTGGCGTTGCGTTAAATCTATTTCTTATTAGAGAGCAGAAATGACTGAATTTAGAGAAGGTTTCATGTTTAGAGTGCATAAGGTGTAGCCAAGAAAATTTGGAGAAATTATCGACAAAAATGACATAGTAATTAAATCCATTTAGTGATTGTTGAGGAGCATGCCCCAAACATCAGAGTGGATTAATTGAAAAACATGTGACGAGCCAGTAGTACTTTTATTAAAAGGGAGTTTATGGCTTTTAGCCATACTACAAGAATTACATTGAAAATTTGCTGGAATAGAATCAAGATTGGGTAGAAGTTGGCAAAGACCGGTGAGGGCTCCTGAATGCGGATGACTGAGCCTGGCATGCCATAAGTGAGCCGAAGACTGCGTAGCCATGAGGGATTGCAGAAGGTCAAAGGAAGCAACCCGAAGATGATACAACCCATTACGTAGTTGACCAAGAAGAAGAGGACGGTGATCCTGAACATCCTTAATAACGAAGTCGTTAGCATCAAAACAAATACAGACTTGATTGTCAGAGGTTAGTTTTGAAATCGAAATGAGATTGTGAGTTAAGGATGGAACGTAAAATAAATTCCGTAAATAGAGCTTACGAGCCGAGTCGGGCAGAGGAAGGAGTCCTTGGCCGGAGTTTTGAATGGGGAGGAAGGATCCATTCGCAATCGAGATGGTGACCGGTCCATGATAATTTGAGCTTTGTTGAAGATTGTTGAGATCCAGAGTGAGATGGCTCGAAGCGTCAGAGTCAAGAATCCAATCATTTGTGGATCTCGGAGAGTGTTGCGAGAGGAAAGCTCTTGGAGTGGATGACGTAGTTGGTCTGTAATTGAGATTGCACCTGTGGCGGTAGTTGAGTGCGATGTGGCCTAGCTTGCAACAGATCTGACAGGTGGGTCGATCAGACGTAGCAGCCGCCGAGGGCAGACGAGCGGAAGTGGCCGAGGTTGTGCGATTTTCAGATTTGCGGCTCTTGAAGGAACGGTTGGAGCCATTCCCCCTATTTGAATTCGCTCGATTCACGTAAAATGCCAGATTGTCTAGGGTGGTCGAGACTTCTTTTGTGTTTCTTGTTGGAGGGTGATCTCTTCGCTGCATAATAAGGAGTAGAGGGTATCAAGATCTATAGGGTTTAGAGAGGTGTGAATGGCGGTCTTGAATGAGTTGTAGGTGGAAGGTAGCCCATTTAAGATGTAAAGGATGATATCCTCTGTGTCGATTTGCGACCCCGAGGCAGCAATGTTATCAACCAGATTTTTGATTTGCATTAAGTATTGCTGCATAGAAGAGTTTTGCATTTGAATATTATGGATAGGGGCGGAGCCAAGATTTTATTCATGTGGGGGCACAAAACATTGAAGTAAAAAAAAAACCTTCATCCTTTTATCTGTTGTTGGCTGGGAACGTAACTATTAATTATGAAATATTAAGTTCAAGCCTTACATAAATATATGATATATGAAATATGTATTAGTTTGCCTTAACCTAGATGCCCAAAAAAAAAAAATCAGAATCTCAATTCCTGCATTAGAACTTTTGTGGTAATGAAACCAGAGGCCTTTCTTGAGAAATTATCAAATAGAAATATTTTGCCTAAAATCGACAAAAAAAAATGTATATTAGAACAGATCGTTGCCATCCAATTTATTTTCCCTCCCTAAATGGTCTAGAAACGACTAATGATATGATGAGATTCAAAATATTTGAAAAGAAACAATTGCAGAAAGGCAAATGTAGTAGAAATGTAATCTGTAATCACAATGGATAAGTTTTGACATAACCACACATGATCTCTTAATGATTTCATATGAAGAAAAAAGACAAGAAGGCAAACAACATGAAAACATAAGGCAGAAAATTTTATTTTTTCTCCTACAACAGGCTGGGTTCGGAAGAATTTTTAAATTTTTTTTTTTTCATTTTTTTCTCCAACAAGAGTCAAAAAACTGCTTGGAAGCCATGAAAAATTCTTTTTTTTATCCAACAAGAGGCAGCAAACTCAAAGCCATAGGCAAATCCAAGAAAGAAAATGGCAAAGTTACTCGATCTAAAGCGGCGTCGACATTCTGGCTCGGAAGAGGGTGACACACGATGGGCCGGTGCCGTTCGGGCTCGGTCCATGGTGAATGGGCGGCCGCACACTGCATCCGCCATTGATTATGGAGTTCGTTTTTGAGTTGAATGACTCTTGAACGATTATTGGTCTGCATTCTCTTTTCAAGAGTTTCCAGACATCGTGGGCTGTGGAGGAAGAGAGCACATAGGGGAGAATAGCATGGGAGATAGTAGAAAAAAAAGCATAAATTAGATTTCGATCGATCAAACTCCATTTGAAGAATCTGAGCTGGAGGTGTCGGGCAGGCAAGAAACGGCTCCGGTGATTGCGAAGCCATTTGCAGAAAAATGTTGCATGATTTGAATGCGCCAGATGTGGTAGCTGTCAGAAGAAAGAGGGTTGGGAACAAGGGTCTTGAGATTTGATGTTAGGAACTTGAGCGGCGTTGGGACGATGTAGACGGAGACGTTGCCGGAGGTGGTGGAGGGTGAGGGAGAGGGCGACACAGCGGATTCTTGATCAGCCATGGGAACGACTTTGCTCTGATACCATGAAAGAACAGAGAGCAAGAAGAAGAAGGCGAGAGAAACGAGATAAAGCTGGTAAAAGGAAAAGTATTCTGAACACCTCAAGTTTTGTTACAGAGTGGTATAAATAGAAAAGCTAGCAGCTAATATTACAAAAAGACCTAAAGGAGTCTGACGTGTAAGGTCTCCTAAGATGATTCATTGTCATTCTCTTCAACTGTAGGACAAGACGTCTGCAAACGTATACGACGTATAATGGGCTCCTCCACCTCGCCATGTCGTATTTTAAGCATAATTAGCTCCTCCTCATCGACTGGACCTGAGACGTCTAGCCATTTAACTTGCTCGTCATTCTTAGTGAAGCTATTGGGCATTTCGGGGTGGGTGAGCCTTAACCGTTCGTTCTCGTCCAAGACAATGATGTTGTCAAATTGTTGGATTTTAGACCACTCATGGACGTCGTTGACGCATATCTTCCTCACCAATTCCTCTTTGCAACTTATTTGTAGGTAAGTGGCTTTTATGTTGTTGTCATCCCCATGGCCATCAGTGGAAAACCACATTGGAAGTGAGTCGGCATTGAAGTCTTTCCAATCGATATTTTGCAATGTATGTGTAAGCTCCACCAAGTTAATCCCCGGACAGTCCTCTATCTTTAGTCGTCGAAGCACAGGAACTCCCGAGATCTTCTCCAGGTAAGGGATGTTTCCAATTTCAATGATTTCTAGAAAACGGAGGTAGTGCAGCTTTTTTAGGAGGAGTTGGGGAGCCGTACATATTCTTATTCTCTTCAAATAGCTAGCTGCATGAAACAGGGCTTCTTCGGGAATTGACTTGAGCTTTGGGCATGCATAAATTTGCAAAACCTCCAAACAAGGCATCACACGTATATCTTTCCCCAAACTACTCCACTCCTCCCAGCTATCCATATTTTCAAAGCTCAATAGCTTCATACTTCGAAATAAGACAGAATTTTGATATGCACCATTTTCTATGTTGTTGTTTGTGTAGAATTCTGGGCCAATGTTTTTTATTGATGATGCACCTTCAATATAAAATGCTTCCAAGAAAGGCAGCAATCCTAATCCGTCAAGTTTCTTGCAATTGCTACAACCAGTTATTTTCAAAAATCGAATGTTAAATAGTCGAGATCCCAGCCAACTTGGTAGCTTGCATCCAAAATAGTTGGTAATTTTAAGAATTTTTAGTTGAACTGGAGGGCAGAGATCCTCAAAGACGACCTCAATTCTGTCGGAATCATCTGTACAAACTTCATTAGAATCTCTCTCCGAGCAACTCAGTATGAGTTCTTTGAGGTGTGGTTTGTCTTTGAGAGAAGCACTTTTTGTTTGAGAGCTGTCCAACACCCTTTCCAGCTTGCACAAATTTAATTGCCTGGTGGCCAATCAACAAGATCTGTTAGTTCTTAAATTCACTTAAATAAGAAATTATCATAATATAGCTTGGAAGTTTGAAGTGTAAGTATTTTGTATATGTCCGACATAATATGCTTAATCATTATAAAATGCTGGTGCATCATAGATAAGATTGTTAGTTTTTTGTTTTCTAATTAATTAGGTTTTTTTTAATGTAAACGTAGATAATTAGCACACAAAACAAGAGTACTCACGACAATGAAATTTATAATTATTCAGAGTCCCCTTATCGAAGGTGAATTCATACATAGGCGTTAAGGGTTATTGCAGTACTAAAAACCATTCATTATAATGTAATTGTAAGGGCCTATTAACACAAGTACTTTTGTACGTTAAATTCTCCAATGTTCTTACTGTAGGAGTAAACTAATATCTGTGCATCCCACAGAAGTGGGTGAGCACATATTTTCATAAATTGCGAGTATTAAAAATTATGAAGTTATAACATGTATGCTTCACCATAATGAGTAAAATCCAATTAATCATATTGTATTCTATTTCCTCCCATGATTTTTATACTCTACTAGTACAGATAAGATAGTTGTTTTTTTTACTTCTGGATTACATTACTAGTTCATTAAGCGACTCCCACTCATATATGCTTATACTTTTATCAGTTTAGTGTATTTGTGGGGCTGGATCTAATTGGTGAGAGTCCAGATTGTTTCCATATGTTACTTCACTTCGCGCTTGATATTATATGTGTGTCTCCAAGACGAAGTGTGGATTGTGCTGGGATCGATCGGTTATGACAGAGAGTTTGTAGCAGACATTTCGTGACTGATGTCAGGTTATGCACAACGGAGAGATGTTAGGCGGTGTTGATCTGGAAGTACGTAAAGTGATTATCTAGAGAGGCAGAGCCGTCATGAAGCGAGTGTAGCTGTATAGGTCTGAAGCTGAAGTTGTGTCAGTGGGCAAGTCGTACCAGGGATGAGTTTTGGATCGTGTCCATTACGTTGCATGGATATATATTATGTGAGTTTTGAAGAAGGAGCTATAATTGATATAGAGATGGACGCATAATGGGGACACAGTCAGGTGGTGAGAAGGCTAATAGGTGATTGCATAGAAGAGTACGCGAAGGTCGCGGATCTAGTGAGCCAGATATCGTAGTCTTGATGTTTTGTATTGCTAGATTTGTAAGTTTATATTTATTTGTATATCGCTCATGATTTCTTGTGATAGCTCTATTAGTGTCAGTTATCTGTTTTCTGTAGTGTGTTATCACTATTGCATGGGGCAGATATGTCGCAGTCCAATAGTAACAATAGGGCCTGAGTATTGGTCGCTTGTTATTTTGCTGAGTCTATTGATGCCAGCGCGACTTCATTATTCTGTTCTGATAAGTGGATCTGAATTTCTGATTGTCGTACGATTGTTGCGATGTCTGAGTTAATCCTCTGTAATAGTGTTTGGTAGGCTGATGAATGAATGATATTCTGATTTGAGATTTCTGATTCATAGTGTACTCTGTGTTGTGCGAGTAGCAGGTGTTGCTGAATGATGTCTTCTGTCGTGGGAGTAATGATATTTCGTAATGCAGTGATGCCTGTCTACGTAGAGAGGGAAATCGTGTAATCTTCTCGCATACCTTCTGGTGACGGAAGTGATTGGCGTCTCGGTGTGTTCTGTTTTTGGCTTATTCGTTGTCTGGGATGTTAGATGTTATTCCTTGTGGAATTCCTGCCGATGGTTCAACTTGCTATGCATAGCCTG